CCATCCTTGAGATCCTGGGATAAAACCCACTTGGTCGCGGTGTATGATTTGTTTGATGTGTTGCTGGATTCTGTTGCTTAGGATCTTGTTGAATATTTTTGCATCAATGTTCATTAGTGATATTGGTCTATAATTTTCTTTTCTTGTTGGGTCTTTTCCTGAGAACCCACGCTCTTAAGCCCTCCATTATGCTAGCTCTCTGATAAAATTACTATCTGATAATTAGGTTTTGAGGTTGAGATTGATTATGATAGTATCCTGTATTTGCATTTTGATCCAAATGTTCATGTACAGAGGAGCCACATTCTAAGACAATTCCTGAGCCTTACCTACCTCCAGCCTAAATGTCTTTGACTATCATGTGCCTTTTCTATCACTTTCGGCTACCTTCTCTCTACGAGTTTTTCTCCAGAGGTCTCCTCTCTGTTTTCACACATGTGTAAGTCTCCTCAGGAAAGACTGAGGTGTCTAGTGTGGGAGACACTTGATGACTGGTGTTCTGCTTACTGTCCATTTGGCTAACACGCATCCACGAAGACCATGAGACTGGGAGACACTCCAAGGCACCAGTGTGTTGAGAGGAAGTGAACAAACTGCTCCCATTACTTTCTGAGACTTACTTCAAGGGGGATCTTTCAATTTATTTTTTATATTTTTAGACTGAGTCTTACTCTGTTGCTCAGGCTAGAGTGCCACAGCCTCAGACTAGCTCACAGTAACCTCAAATTCCTGGGTTCAAATGATCCTCCTGCCTTAGCCTCCTGAACAGCTGGGAGTACAGGAACCTGGCTATTTTTATAGACAAGGTCTCACTCTTGCTCAGGCTGGTCTTGAACTCCTGAGCTCAAGCCATCCTCCCTTCTCAGTCTTGCAGAGTCTAGGATTGCAGGCGCCAGCCACCACACCTGGCTGGGATCTTTCAGTTTAATCACCACTCCTGCATCCACACCCAGACTCTAGTAATTGAACCAAACATTGTCCCTTGTGCTGATCATCTGAGTTAGGAGGGAGATTTTAACAGCTAAACCTAAGACAGAAAAAGAAGGAAATAAAAACAGATAATACAGGTAGAATAAAAAACCCCATTCTACCAAGTTTTGGTTTCTGATGTTGACAGGGGAAGGTGTGTGCTAAGTAGAAAGGTTAGGAGTGTTTGCAAAGTCTGATTAACCTGGTCTGCAGTGGGGTCCCAGCGGATTGTAAAGTGCAGCCACAGCTGAGAACAACTTTCTTAATCTATTGATGAGTCACACGTTTGAGATTTGAACCCTTTCTGCTGCTTGCTTTCTTTAATTTTTTTTTTTTTTTTTTTTTTTTTGAGACAGAGCCTCAAGCTGTCCCCCTGGGCAGAGTGCCGTGGCATTACAGCTCACAGCAACCTCCAGCTCCTGGGCTCAAGCGAGTCTCCTGCCTCCGCCTCCCAAGTAGCTGGGACCACAGGCGCCCGCCACAACGCCCGGCTATTTTTTGGTTGCAGCCGTCATTGTTGTTTGGCGGGTCCGGGCTGGGGATTCGAACCCGCCACCTTAGGTGTACGTGGCTGGCGCCTTAGCCGGTTGAGCTATAGGCGTCGAGCCTGCTTTCTTTAATTTTATTAGGAATAACCCCCCCCCCAAAATAATAAGGATTAATACAATTCTAATTGCATATCACATTTTACCTTTTATCTTCAAAACGGTTGTATCATAAGGCTTGGTTGGCACAGTGGGAGGAAAGGGCTGTTGGGTGCGGGCTTTGATGCCAGTGTAGAGGTCCTTTGGCGACGTGAAGGTTGGGAACATGCTAGTACGAGGTATGTGTGTATGGTAAGGGTGTTCAATTGGATATGGTAGGCAGGTCTCCCTAAGATTCATTGAGGAAATAAAACAAAATAAAAAAGAAGAGAAAGAAGTATGATTGAAAAAATTAATCACCATTTATTTATTGGGGCCCCTTTTTTTGTTGTAGAGACTGTTCTAATCCCTGGGGATATGACAGTGAGTCACAAAAGTTCCTGTACTCATGGAGTTAGCATTCTGCTAGAATGTATACTATAAAGAATGAAATTTTCTTAATTTTGCTTGATAAAACTAATTTAATTTTTAAAATGAATCATGCTTAGGCTCAGCACCTGTGGCTCAAGTGGCTAAGGCACCAGCCACATACACCTGAGCTGGCAAGTTCAAATCCAGCCCAGGCCCGCCAAACAACAATGATGTCTGCAACCAAAAAATAGCCGGGCGTTGTGGCGGGTGCCTGTGGCCCCAGCTACTTGGGAGGCTGAGGCAGGAGGCTTGCTTGAGCCCAGGAGTTGGAGGTTGCTGTGAGCTGTGATGCCACAGCACTCTACCCAGGGGAACAGCTTGAGGCTCTGTCTCAAAAGAAAAAGAAATCATGCTTAGTTTTCAGTGAGTAATTTTAGTAACTGTTGTAAAAATGTAAAGCAGACGATACGTGAACTTTGTGTTTTTAGACTTGTATAGAAAATTCTAGTTGCTTCTAATTCCTGCTTCTTGTTTTAAGAAGAACCCAGACTTTATTTTATTAAATTGTTTTAGGCATTTAGTTTTAGTAATGCAACATGATCTCTAAGCATCTTGGAATGAACTTTCAACCCAGGCCATCTGTCTCTTTAAGCAATCAATCAACAAAATATACTGCCTGTTTATTCACACAGTACTGTTTCCAAATCAAAAAGCCAAACACAGCTAGTAAACTGAAGGAGCAAAACAAGTTAAGAAAACTATAGAAATATAATTTTCCTCTCATTTAGGGAATAGGCAAAGGTTAACAAAACCAGCCAACCAACCATGTGGGAGCTGTCTAAAATAGAAGAAAACTGAGATTAGGAGGTCAGTGGGACAGAGAAATGTTGCTGGTAATTAGAAAATTAAGAAGAAGAAAGCAAGTCCAGTGTTGTGGGTTGAATTGTGTCTCCCCCATCAAATCCATATGTTGAAGCCCTAAGCCCCAGGACCTCTTATTGTGAGCTTATGTGGAAACAGGGCCATTGCTGATATAATTAGTTAAGGTGATATTTCTCCATATTAGAATAGGGTGGGCCTCTAATTCAACATGACTGGTGTTCTTAAAAAAGGACAATTTGGATACAGACAGGCACACAAGGAGAACATCGTGTGCAGATAAAGCAGAGGTGAAATCTGCAAGCCAAGGAATGCAGAGATCTCTCCCACACCACCAGAATCTGGGAGAGAGGTGTGAGACAGATTCTCATGTGCCTCCGATGGAACCAGCCCAGCTGCCACTGTCATCTTGGGTCTCTAGCCTCCCACTTTGGGACGTATCAGGCTACAAGGAGGAAGGCAAATCCAAGACATATAACTCAATAAAAAGGGCTTAGATAGTTCTCATACTGTTTATGCAGAGAATTTCAAAATTCCAAAAGAAGCGCTCTTTACATAGCTGTTTTTTCAAAAACAAAGACCAAAAAAACCTAGACCTTAATTTTAACAGTGGTTTGAGTCGGTCATTGCTTTATCTAAAACACAATTTTAAATGTCTATTTCATATTTTCAGTTAAGTTTGATAGGGGACTCCAGTAGCACGGAGAATACCTAGGACTCAGATCTCAGTTCCCAGTGCCATGTCTCCCAGTGAAAGGAGCTGGGATTTCTTTCTTTCTGTTTTTAAGATGCGGTCTCACTCTTGCTCAGGCTGGCAACGAACTCCAGAGTTCATAAGATCCCAGAGTGCTGGGATTACAGGCGTGAGCCACCATGCCCTGCCAGAACCAGGGCTTCATACAGTTAGAGTTATGGATGATTCTAGGAATTAGGCGAGGGATATACAAGATCAGCCAGAAAGTGAGGATATTCTAAAAGCAAAAATACAAAACACTGCACAATGACGAGGGAAATGTCAAAAGAATAGGAGTGAATTAAAATTGCTCCTAAAGGCCAATTTGAGTAACAAAATAAAGTAGTATTGCATTTACTATCTAAGTACAAAAGCATAAAATGCATCCACAAGTCACTGATATAAATAAATGACTAAATAAACAAATAAATAGAGCAGAAGAGATAAATCTCACAGGCAGAGGAATGCTAAATAATTTATGTAGGTATTCTGTTCTCAAGAAGATGGAGTAAAATTCCAGATACCTTAAGTGCAGGCTGCACACAGGAACTTTCTTCTAAAGAGTACAGTGTGGAAAGGAGAGAAAAAAGAGTAAGTGTAAGTGGGGAAGCCTGGCAAGCTCTGTCTCTGCCAGGAGACCAGCGTCACCATCAACGGTGATAAATCACGCTGCTAGCATGCAGTCTTGCTATGATGTGATGAAACGGTACTTCACTTCTGTGGATTTCCTTCCCAAAATACATCGCCCCAGTCTAATCATAAGGAAAACACTGGTCAAACCCAGTTTAGGGGCATTCTACGGAATATCAATAGTCCTCAAAGTTGTCAAGGCCACCAAAACAAGGAAAGCCTGAGAAACCTTCACAGCCAAGAGGAACCTAAGGAGACAAGATGACTAAATGTAATGTTGTGTCCTGGGTGGGATCTTGGAACAGAAAAAGGGCATTAGAAGAAAACAGGGAATCTGAATATGGTGTGAACCTTAGCAGTAATGCATCAGTTTTGGTTCATGGCGGCAAATGAGAGATTTTTTTTTTTTTCCCCAAGACTTTAGAGTCTCACTTTGTTGTCCTTGGTAGAGTGCCGTGGTGTCACAGCTCACAGCAACGTCAAATTCTTGGGCTTAAGTGATTCTCTTCCCTCAGCCTCCCAAGTAGCTGGGACTACAGACACCTGCCACACTGCCCAGATATTTTTTTGTTGTAGTTGTCATTGTTGTTTAGCAGGCCTGGGTCGGGTTTGAACCCCCCACCTCCAGTGTATTTGGCTGGCGCCCGAACCACTGAGCTACGAGTGCCAAGCCCAAAATGTGAGAGATTAATTTAAGATGTTAATAATAGGGGAAACTAGGGGGTGGCGTATAGGGGAACTCGGTAGTATCTTTCCAATAATTCTATAAATTTAAAATAAATAAAAAGTAAATAAAGTAAATAAAAAGTTTATTTTGAAAAAAAGCTTTACATCACTCCTTTTCTTATTGTTTGAAAAATATAAAAATATTTACAGGGGTTAGCAATGGAGAGAAATCAAAATAATATTACCTTGGAGTTACATTAAAAAATAGCTTTCATGAAAAGTCTGACTTGTCCTCACACTTGTCTAAGACTTCAGGAATGTTAGTATTTTTTTTTTTTTCTTGATTGTAAAAAGGAAGGAAAAGGTAAGTTTCATACTCACCCAATTGCTGAACTAGGTGGTTTGGGTAACCTAGAATAAAAACAGGAAACAAGATCTGATTTACATTAAGGGCTTATATGCTTATTAAGAACTCGATTAAGAACAACAATGGATGCTGTTTTCAAACTACAGTGTCATTAAGGTAGATCTTCTTCTTTCTTTAATTTCTTCCTTCCTTTCTCACTCCCTCCCTCCCTTCCTTCCTTTTTTAGAGATAGGGTCTCACTCTATTGCCCAGTCTAGAGTGCAGTGGTGTGATCACTGATTGCTCACTGCAGCCTTGAACTCCTGGCCTGAAGTGACCTTCCTGCCTCAGCCTCCTGAGACTATAGGTTCTCATTGCTGTGCTTAATTTTTTAGTTTGTATTTTTGTAGAGATGAGATCTCATTATTGACTAGGCTGGTCTTGAACTCCTGGCTTCAAGCAATCCTCCCCCCTGAGCTACCCAAATTGCTGGGATGATACTTGTGAGTCATCATGCCCAGCCAAGATGATATTGTTGATTAATTTTCTGGATCCCTGAATATTGACAAGATAGATCTGATGTTTTCATATCTCAGTTGTCAGCTGATCAATTTTTCCTTTCCATTTATTCTAACTTCAGTCCTGTTTCCTACCCTTTATGAATTTCTTATTTGCAGTTAAGGCACAGGGCTGATGACTTCTAATGATGAGAAAGCTCTGACTCTTACTGACCTTTGCTCTCATAATTAGGCAGTAGCCAAAGTGCTCTGAGGGAGCCTGACGTCACATGTGTGGTGCAATTGCATGACCCGAAGAGACCTGAGTATGGCCTGGCTGGACAGGGTATGTAAGTACCATGTGTGCTCTGTCCCTGTATCCGGGGTTGCTGATCTCTCATCTTAGTAAATGTGGCCCAGTCAACAGAGAGGACAGAAAAAAAAAATGACCAAGTTTCTGGAGGCATGCCTTTTTTGAACCGGTTCATTCCAAGGTTGTGTATTTACTAATTACTCTGAACTTTGCATGTCCAGAAATAACACTCCAGTCCTGGAAGAAAGTCTACTAAGGAGGGATAATTATCCACTTAAATTTGATTTAGACAATTAGCTTCAGCCAATGAAAATAAGACCCTCAAAGATTTCAGGCATGAAAAATGAATAGAATATTATCAATTTGATAATAAAAATCAGTAAAACTGATATACTGTTTAATTTTTTAGATGTTCCGCCATGTTTGAGGATACTCACTCGGAAGTGGTACATAAGTCATATAATTTTATAATGTACAATATACATGAACTACAAAAGTGTATATCTTTTGCCAAACTTATTTTGCTTTGGAAAAGAAAAGGAAAAAACTTGATATCTTTATTTGGATTGTATATTATTGCATTGGAGAGATGGGGTGGGGGTAGGGAAGCAAGGAATATATGAATACAAGGAACACAAAGTTACTAGATTGGCTACTATATAAAAAGAACTTAAGTTGGCATCTGAAACTGTTCTTATGTGAGAAATTTTGCTATAATATTGATACACATATGCATAAAATTGACTTGATTAAAAATAAAAAAATGGAAATATAAAAGAAAATATTTCTAAACACATCCAAATTTGAAAGGATAAAATGAAAACAAATGCTCAGACACACCACTTCTTTGACCTAAATTAGTCCATTTTACTGCGACCCTCCACAGCTGCTTTGCAAAATTTAGTAATTCCAAAGGGATAGAAAACTCAGGCAACCACATTTTTTTGTGTTTTTGGCTCCCTCTAGTGGCTAAACGTTATACAAACTTCTTACCTACAAACAACTGACAATTCTTTTTTTTTTTTTTTTTTTGAGACAGAGCCTCAAGCTGTCCCCCTGGGTAGAGTGCCATGGCATTACACTCACAGCAACCTTCAACTCCTGGGCTCAAGCGAGTCTCCTGCCTCCGCCTCCCAAGTAGCTGGGACCACAGGCGCCGGCCACAACGCCTGGCTATTTTTTGGTTGCAGCCGTCATTGTTGTTTTGGCGGGTCCGGGCTGGGGATTCGAACCCGTCACCTTAGGTGTACGTGACTGGCGCCTTAGCCGGTTGAGCTATAGGCGCCGAGCCACAACTGACAATTCTTAACGTGGTATTTTTACTGTTACTTCAGTGAAGCGACAAACTATTTCAAAGACTAAAAAATTTAATATATTTGAAAATAATACCTTTAAGCAAAGGGCAAGTGAATAAGTATTCCTTATCCAAAAAGAGACTTAATTAGTAATTTTATTCAGAGTCATATAGAGATGGCCCTAACAAACCTCTCTCCTCATATAATTCTGATTGAAAATTTGTTGAGGGCCACTGTAGCATTTTCTGTGAATCTTTTAAGAAACATAACAGGTTCTACGTAGATTGAGTAAGTAGGTCAAAGGCAGAGAAATAGATTTACGATGACCTGGAGGAATCCCTTTGGCCATTACTATTCAATATCTCCTATTTTTTCTTGACTTGTTTAAATGCTAGCAACTAAGTAGAGAAAAGTGAGACCAATGTTGGTTTATGGTTTGTTTTTTGTTTGGTGTTGGTTTTCAGTATTCATTATCTCTGTTTAAAAAAAGGAACAAGACTGTATCTCTAAAAGTCCTCATTTGGGGGCTTTAAATTTCTCATACAACTGACTTCCACTTAAAAATGTTATTTGATCTTATATATAAAAAAAGAAACCCAAACTTACAAAGAATCATTTCCATAGATGTCACTTTTTCTGTTCTGTGTCAAATGATAGAATTGTTCCATAGAAAGTTTTCTGAAAAGAAAGAAAAGATTAAATTGAACAGCTTTTAAAATTAAATATAAATGTAATAGTGAGATAGTAAGTTAAATATAAGGATAATGGTGAAATAATAAAAGACAAATAGATTAATACCACCATGCACAAAAATTTTAAATCCATGAAAAGGTATTTTTCAATACAGGAAAAATTCACTTTCCTTTGTAAAATATTACATCTCCATTTTAGACTATTCATAAAGATAATTTCAGAGGGATTAAAACATCTAAAGGACTGAGGAAAAACTATACGAATATTAAAAGAAAATGTTAGGAATATGTTTTTTCTATGGTAGCAGGGAGGACCTTTTATTATTATTATTATTTATTATTTTTTTGAGACAGAGTCTCAAGCTGTCACCCTGGGGAGAATGCTGTTGCATCACAGCTCACAGCAACCTCAAACTCTTGGGCTCAAGCGATTCTCTTGCCTCAGCCTCCCAAGTAGCTGGGACTATAGGCGCCCACCACAACATCTAGCTAATTTTCCTATTTTTTCAGTAGAGACAAGGTTTTGCTCTTGGCTCAGGCTGGTCTCAAACTCCTGAGGTCAAGTGATCCTTGCATCTCTGCTTCCCAGAGTGCTGGGATTACAGGCATGAGCCACTGCACCCAGCTAGTTCATGGTCTTTTTAAAAGAAAATTAGAACTTTTCAATTTTATTAGCACTTAATAGATGAAAACGTAAAACTCAAAGAATTCCAGAACTATAAATATATATCTTTTCACTACACAGACCCTTCAGATTTGTATAAAATTAAGAAAAAAGATTCAAAAATTAAGAAAAAGATTGAAAAGATTCAAAAAATTATTTGTCAAGTAATATTGACTCTCCAGTATGAAAGACAAAATGATAAACCACTGTGAACTAAAAATAAAATTCTAAGCCCTCTGCTAACTAAATGGACCCCTCTTGGCCAAGGAGAACCCTTAAAACACCTTAAAACTGACTGCCCAGCCATGACGGGATGGGAGAGAGAAAGCACAATTATACATGCTTGCAATCTTTCACAAATATTCATGACTAGCTTGTTAAATACATATCTATCTATCTATCTATCTATCTATCTATATATATGTATATGTAAAACCTGCCTGGCTTATTATAAAATCTTTTCCTTTTGTCTGTCCTTTGAAGCACATGTGCTGGCTGCTGGCCAGGGTTCTGCTTCCCAGCCTGTTGGAATGGCCACTCAGCAGGCTGCTACCCTTTATGAGAAATAAAGCTCTTCTTTTTCCAAAATACATATAAACACTGTTAATTTTTTAACATCCTTTACACTCTTTTTGCTTTCCATCCCTAATCTCCCCTGCTTTTTTTTAATAGACTCTGTACTTTGCCAGGGTTTGTGACATTTACATTGTGGGGCAACAGTAACTTTCCTACTCATGTGGATTCAATGTCCATCACCAGCCCTTCTGTTTCAGCTTCTCTGTTCTTCTTCTTCTTCTTCTTCTTCTTCTTTTTTTTTTTAGAGACAGAATCTCACTTTGTTGCCCTTGGTAGAGTGCTGTGCTGTCACAGCTCATGGCAACTTCCAGCTCGTGGGCTTAGGTGATTCTCTTGCCTCAGCCTCCTGAGTAGCTGGGACTACAGGCGCCTGCTGCAATGGCCGGCTATTTTTTGTTGCAGTTTGGTCGGGGCTGGGTTCGGACCCTACTCACTGAGCCACAGACACTGCCCAGCTTCTCTGTTCTTTAGTTTTTTATTTTGATTCATTTTTTGGTGTGTTAAATTTATTTTCAGGTTTTTTTTTTTTTTTTAAAAATAAGAGCTCATTGGGTGCTATGCACTCTAATTTCTCTCATGCTTGAGATGTCTGCCTACAGCCTTTATGCTTGACTAACCATTTTGTTGCAATAATATCATTGGGCAAAAGTTAGAAGATATTTTTTTCACCATCAAAAACGGCTATAGAGGCTAGAAGCTAGTTTTTCCAACTGGTACATGATTTGCTTTTCCTGCTTGAATGCCTAAATTAGTCTTTATGAATTCAATTATGTGACCAGTTCATATCTCAATGTCAGCAGTTCTATACCAGTTTTTCCCATTTTATGGTATTTTCTTTTGATCTTCAGAGTCAGTTCTTTCTTAATTTCATGGGAATTATCTGGTACCTCTCTGAATACTGTTTTTCTGTTCCATGTATTAGATGCTCTGCATTTGGGCGCCTATTTGCTTATTACAAATAATTCTGCTTCCTAGCCATCATGTTGTTCTTTCTATTGCTTTAGTGCTCTTCTGTTTTTCCTCCGCCTTCTCTGTGAGTTACTGTCTTTATACTATTAAGTCAATTTTTAGTCGCTGCTATTTCTTGCTCTTTCTTTTTTCCTATATTAGTGTGATTTGTGATGGTGCACTTCCCATTTTTTCTTGCAATCGCCCCTTCCATAACAGTCCATTGCCAAATTATCTTGTCTTTTATTAGGTTCATATACATGTACCTAATTTGGTCCTTTTATAGGGAATTGCTTTCATTATTTTCTGGGCTATGTTTTGTCTTAGACCTGGTTTCTTCATATACATGTATACAGAGGGTGCCAAAAAATGTATACACAAGTTAAGAAAGGAAAACAACTATATTAAAATTGTAATACCCGAGTCACAGTTAATTTCTGTAATTACAAGAGATATAAGATACATTATACAAAATAACAATTATCAGCACATATTGAATAGTACAATTTTAATACAATTTTTTTCTTTCTTTTTTTTTTTTTTTGAGACAGAGCCTCAAGCT